CATTTTTAGGAGAAAAAAACTATTTTTTTCAACTTAATTCATCATGTTCATCAGAGATCTATGCAGAGATTTTAATTTTATTATTGTTATTTGTTTTTCATTTTATTTAGAGTTTTCTTGTAATACAAGGGTGTGCCATAATGCTTGTCTTGGGTACACTTCTTAAATAAATATAGGTACTGCTATTTTAAGTGTTAAATTTGTGAAAGTAAAAATGTCATTGATATAAATGAGTTAAAATTCATATTTCATAAAGATTTCCTGAATATTTTTCAGACTTTGATGCCCCAAAGATGTATTTACTTTCAAGAAAAATGATCACTCCTAATTAAGTTTTCCCATGTTTCTTCTCTACCTGAGAGTGATTCATGATGAAATAATAAATTTTATACAATAGAACACAATTTTATGTTATTCTGATCCTTGCCTCAGAATTCTTTATACATAATTTCTTTTGGTCGGTCATGGGGCTTGAATTCTTGGCATGGGCACTGTCTCTTGCTCTTCAGCTCAAGGCTAGTGTTCTACGATTTGAGCCATAGTACCACTTCTGGCGGTTTTTGCTTATGTGATGCTGTGGAATTGAACCCAGGGCCTCATGCATGCAAGGCAAGCTCTCTACCACTGAGCCACCTTCCCAGCCCTTCAGAAAGCTTTATAATTTATATTCTGGAATAGGCATCATCAACAAAGGGGGATAAGATTCAGAATAGTATATAAGGGGCTAATATAAATATTTTAATTTTCCAGCCCCGGGGTTTGCAATTGGTAGCATATAGTACTTAAGACACACTGAAATCCTTTTGATTTGTTTTGTTTTTCGGATGGACTGAAGCTTTGCTCCGGGGCCAGCCTCATCCTCTCTTATTAACTCTGCCTCCCAAATATATGATATTTTAGGTTTGTACTGCACACCAAGCTTGCTTTCTGAGAGTCTCTCAAACATTTTACCCAAGCTATCTTCAAAGTGTCTCTATTTTAAACAATGATGATATCAGCTAGGACTATCCTTGTTATATACTAATTATTACAAGTGAGGGAAACCATGGGTTTTATGATTCTTTGTGTCTGGTTTATTTCATGTAATATGATTTTTCCAAGTCTTTCCATTTCCTTAGGATACCATTCTTTATGATGGAAACATAGAATTCCATTGTGTATATATATATATATATATATATATATATATATATATATATACATATATATATACCACATTTTCTTGATCCATTCCTCTACTGAGGGGCATCTGCGTTGGTTCTATGAGAAGAATAGATCAATACCTATGTACACATGACCATATAAAATGATGCTAAGTAAAATGAACTCTAAGATATTGAAACAAGAGGTTTTATTTCTTGGGTTTTTTTTGTTAAATATACTATGTGATTACTTCTTTCTTTTGTGTTTTCCTCCCTATGGTTTGTCCTCTGTTGTTACTGTATTTGATTTTTGGTATCCTGGGTATAGTATATATGTTAATCTGAACGAGGGAAGGGAAGGGGGACAACAAAATGAAGAGACAAAGGACAAAGGGTGAGAGCCAATGTAACAGTCGTATTCACAAGATAATGTTGCAAGTGAACTGTACAACTTGAGGATATGTTACTGGGGTCAGAAAATGGGAGAAAAATGAAGGAGGGGGTAACAAGTTTGACAAGAAATGTATTCACTACCTTGTGTATGTAACTGTAACCCCTCTGTATATCACTTTGACAACAAAATTACAATTGAAAAATAAAGATGATATCAGAAAAAATTTCTAATTTACACGTTTTAGCATACACTAAGGGAATAAAATAAACTAACAAATTAAGAATGAAAAATAGACAGTTCCATAAAAGTAAACGTTGGACACAGAATCCATTGGGTGAACATAGAAAGGTTCATGTCTATAATCTTATCAACTCAGGAAGCTGAGATCAGAGAATTATCATTCAAATTCAGCCTACAATGGGAGAGCCCCAATCATGAGTAAAATAAAGCCAAGAGAGAGCACCATTATTCAAGTCCCAGTATTGGCATTTAAAAAAATCCATCAGGATAAGAAATACATGTGAATAAAAATATACTTCTAAAAGCTTGTTAACATCTTTTAATGATCTAGTCATTTGTACATTTATAAAACTCTAAGTATATTAGCCACAACATTTATAATTGAAGTGAAAATTATAAAGCACCTAGTGTAATTTCATTCCTATCCCAGATCATAATTGCATTTAGATCATTTACGGAGAAATTCTGTTTCCTTTCAATACGATATAATTGAAAAATCTCATTGGAACAAGTGATGAATCATATTTATATGATTTACATGATTCACATAGTAGATCATATTTATAAATAGTTCTTATTTTACTGTGGATGAAAAATCACTATTGCCTTGCAAAGACTGACTTTATATAAGGAGCTCACACCCAAGTGATCCAAAACAAAAACAAAAAAAAAATAAAAATGAGTAGAGGAATACTTTAACTGGTGTCATCTGCCTGGGAGCAGTTCTGCAAACAGTAAGAAAATTTACTGATTGAAAGACAAAGAACTTTAGCAAAACTTGAAGACTTCCCTGAAAGGGTAGATTGTCCCATATTTACATATGCTTGTGATAAAATTCATAGAAAGAATTTATTTCCCAGTTTCCTAAATTTGGAATATCAGAAAATCGAGAAAGGGAACAATCAGTGAGATGTTTACTTTATGGCATTTTCATTTGTTCAAAACGTGTGGCTCTGTATTTACAAAGCAAACTTAAGGAGAACTAATTAAAAAGAGTCCTGATGACACTGGGTAAATAATTGTGTAAACAGAGGCATTTACCAAAACAAATTTGATTCAAGTCCATATCTTAGGAGAGTTGTTGCATGCTACTGATAGAAAAATAGTTGTTTTTTTTTAAACAAAAGAACATTCAGAGATCAGAAAGAATTATTTAAATTGAAGAATCTGAGTAAAATTATAGTTCAGAAATTACCTTCAAATGCTCCCTAATGACTGTTAAAATACATTGAAAGAGTATATTTAAGTCATGTACAATCATTTTTCATAAGGAGAAGAAGTACAATATTCAATTCATCTCTATTTTTATGATATTTTTAGGATACACAGAATACAATGGAATTTGTTACCTGGAAGAGAGTGAACAGTAAAATATGTTATCCAAAAGGGATTGGAAAGTCAAATGCAACCAAGTTTCTTAAAAGACATACTAAAAGTTACATATGAATGGAGAAGAGATCCGAAGACAAATGTTCCACATATAAATTCTTATTCCATCAAATTATGAAAAAAAGTAGAGCTGAATGAGTAATTTAGAGTGTATTTTTGTGCACACGCATGTGCAGCCCCCCAAATATATACTTTTGCCTCATATTAATGAGCTTCACAGGAAATTGTAAAGAAATTTTCATCAAAATGAAGAAAGTATTTACTAAAAAAAAAAAAAAAGAACATTTTGGATACCAGTTAGCTCATGCCTGTAATCCTAGCTACTCAGGAAGCTGAGATCTGAGGATCATGATGGAAACTGACCTGGACAAGAAAATCCATGAGACCCTTATCTCCAATTAATCACCAAAGTTCCAGAAGTGGAGATGTAGCTCTAGTGGTAGAACGCTACCTTTAAACAAAAAAGCTCAACAATATTGCCTAGGCACAGAATTCAAGCTCCAAGAAAAGACAGAAGCTTGAACACCAAGAAGAAAAAAATTCAAGATGGTGGTTTGTTTTCCGTGCAAGGAATAAATAGGTAATGTAAGAAGATGAGCTTTATCTTTGCTAATAGAAATCCACTAAATGATATCTACAGCTGAAAATAGTAAATTGTACATACAGGCTTTATATTTTAATATAATGATAAACAAGAATGAGACTCAACATTGTTGTGAATATGACTGACTTGGGCTGTAGAGTATAACTGCCAAGATTTGAAAAGAGAAATGATAGTCCCATAACATTTTTAAGACAAAAGAAAAGTATTACTGTTTTGCAAAATATACATATAAATAGTTGAAAAATCCTTACAATACTAAAAACTTTTAAGAATAGTAAAGATAAAAGAACAAGGAATCACCCAGAGTAATGAGAAATAGCATATCTGGAGAAAAGAAGAAATAGATAACTGTACAAAAGCACACTGAATTTTACTAGCAGTAAAGACAGGTGAGTAATGGATTTTCAATTTTTTGAAGTGCTTATCACTTAAATAGGAATATAAATTTGTACAGAGTCTATGGAGGTCAAACTAACATTTGTATTGTAAAAATGTATTTATAGTTTTAATCAGGAAGAAAAACATTTAAAACAGTACCATCTTCCTGTCTACAAGATCTTTTTCTACAGATTCAACCAACTGGAGATTAGAAATACACAGGGAACATAATATGCCATTTTCAAAGAAATGGATGGAACTGGACAAAATTCAGACTTTGAGAGGAAAGGGTTCCAGTGTTTTATTTCTCATATGTGCAAGTTAGATCTCTTTTTGCAATCACTTAAGATAAAAATATGTAGGATAAATATGTAGAGTATTAAATATGTAGGATATATCATATCTTTAGTAAATGTATACAGACTTTTCTTGAAATTATACTCAACAGCATACTAAACAATAAAGCAAATCTTTATAAGGTTTATATAAATAATCTAAAGTATATGATAGGTTATATTTAAGTTTTTTTAAGTAATCTAGAAAATATTTAAAGTACATAGTAGGAAATATAGTCTATAACCAAATGGTATTCCATTTTATTTACGTGACTAGACTACCCAAGTTTTGCATCCTGAAACAAAGCCAGGAGCCTATTTCCAGAAGCCAGGCATGATTGTATATGAATGAATCCTAATTTTTTTTTTGAAAAACCAGATTCTTTAATGAGGCTATGGAGAACAACAGTTCCATTATTTCATTGGATACATTAATATCAATCCATAATATACAGTGCTATGGACCATACAGAAATTATTGCTGCTTCCAGCAGCTGGTGAGTATTAATATTACAGTACCAAGCGTCCATAAGAGACAGTCATTTGTCATTTTTTTATCAAGAAACAGGGTTTGTTATACTGTTAGCAATGTCAACTTTAGATGTATTAATCATAATAAAGACCTTTAATAGCCATCATTTATCCAAAAGCATTCTATAAAGCTCTTAGTAAATGATTTGCTACATTTAGACATGGCTACTGAATTATTATTACGTTTTGGAATAATATATAAAATTTGTTAATAAGATAATCAGGAGAAAATTTTATGCATACTTGAAAAAAAGAGAATATTGCAACACAATGAAGTAAGGTGCAACTCAATGAAATATCATGTACCATAAATGTTTATGTATTGGGTGGTGGTTTATGAACATGTAATTGAAAATAATTCTTAAAGGAGATATTTGGAAAAACTATTTTTGTATTCCCTCTTACTACTTTATGGAGTTTTTGAAAGATTTTCATAGTAGTATTTTCACTTATACAAAAAAAGAAAGATCTAAAAGCACAATTCAGAGGCAGATACATCATTATGCACAAGGGCCTAAGTTTATTCCCAACACCAAAAATAAAATATGATAATCACAAATCAATTAAAACACAGAATAAAGAGGGAAGGACTTGAAGAATGTCAAATACCTAGAATGTCAGATATACAGTAGGTTCTCTGTGAGCTGCTACACATTAGAACAACTATTGGTAGTGATCCATTTGGAATTGATTAAGTTTGCAGGGTGATAGATGAGGATCTAGTTTTTGTTTTCTACAAGTGTTAAACCAATTTTGCCAACACCATTTAATGAAGAGGCTGTCATTCTTCCATTCTATTTTTTTAACTCCATTATTGAAGAATAGGTGGCTATAGGTCTATGGGTTCATTTCTAGGTCTTCATTTCTATTCCACTGCTTCTCAGGTCTGTTCTTATGCCAGTACCAAGCTGTTTAGATTTCTATGGCTTTGTAATAGAGTTTGAAATTTATTATTGATATTCCTCCAGCACTGTTCTTTCCGCTAAAGATTGTGTTTTGCTATTCGGGGTCTTTTATTGTGCCGTATGAATTATGGTGTTGCTTCTATTTCCTTGAAGAATGAGGTTGGGATGTTTATAGGAATCTCATTGAATTTGTAGATAGTGTTTGGCAGTATTGCCATTTTCATGATGTTAATCCTCTAAATGCAGGAGAATGGGAGGTTTTTCCACTTCCTTAGTTCTGCTTTAATTTTCTTTTCCAGGTTTTTAAAGTTTTCATCATAGAGATCCTTCACTTCTTTAGTTAACTCTTTATTTATGTGGTATTATTACAAAAGAATTTGCTTTCCTGTATTCAGCCACACTTTTCTCTTTATTGGCATACAGAAAAGCCATTGATTTTTGTTGTTGTTGTTGTTTTTGTTGTTTTGTTTTGTTGGTCGGTTGTGGGGCTTGAACTCCGGGTTTGGGCACTGTCCGTCATCTCTTCAGCTCAAGGCAAGCACTTTACTGGTTGAGCCACAGTGCCACTTCCAGTTTTCTAGTGGTTTATTGGAGATAAGAGTCTCACGCACTTAACTGCCCTGGCCGGCTTTGAACCGTGATCCTCATCCTCAGATCTCAGCCTCCTGAGTAGCTAGGATTACAGGTGTGAGTCCGGCAAGCCATTGATTTTTTAGGGTTAATTTTTTTTTAATATTTTGTTGGTGGTGGTGGTTGTGGGGCTTGAACTCTTGACCTGGGCGCTATCCCTCAGCTCTTCAACTACAAGCCGAGCTCTCTACCACTTGAGCTACAACACCACTTCCAGTTTTCTAGTGGTTTATTGGAGATAGGAGCCTCATGGTCTTTCCTGCCCTGGCTGGCTTTGAACTGCAATCCTCAGATCTCAGCCTTCTGAGTAGCTAGGATTAGAGGCATGAGCCACCGGCGCCTGGCTTGAGGGTTAATTTTATACCCTGTTACTTTGCCAAAACTTTGGATCAGCTCAAATTTGGGAGTGGCATCCATGAGGTGCTTTAAATACCAGATTATGTCACCTGCAAAGAGAATTGGAGTTTAGCTTGTTGCTCCTTTTCAATGAGCTTCAGGTGCTTTGTTACATTGTTGGTTTCAGATCTCTCCAATTTGTTGATGCAGGAAGTCAGAACTATGAACTTATCTCTGAGTGCTGCCTTTGCTCTGTCCCAGAAGAACTGGTAATTTGTGTGTCCATTTTTGTTAAATATCATGAACATTTGAACTTCCTCTCTAATCTCTTCTGTCACCCATTTATTGTCCAGCAGTGTGTTGGTCAGACTCCATGTGTTACAAGATTTTCTTTGGTGGCTTTTGGTGTTGAATTCTAATTTTATTCCCCTGTGGTCTGAGAGAATGCAGGGCATAATTTCACTGTTTCTGTATTTGGACAAATTTGCTTTGTGACCTAAAATGTGGTCTATTCTGGAGAGTGTTCCGTTTGCTGCTGAGAAGAACGTGTATGCTGATGCTGCTGGGTGAATTATTCAGTAGATGTATGTTAAGTCTAGTTGATCTATGTAGTTATTTAGGTCTGAGGTTTCTCTGTTGAGTTTTTGCTGGGTTCATCTAGCCATCGGGCATAGTTGTGTGTTAAAATCCCCAACAATTAATGTCCTTGCATCTATGTGAGATTTTAGGGAAAGTAGTGTTTCTTGGATGAATTTGGGTGCTCTGTTATTTGGTGAATAGATATTTAGAATTGTAATATCCTTTAGAATGAGTGATCACTTAATTGTTACCTAATGACCTTCTTTATCTCTTATCTCTAATTTTAATTTGAAGTCTATTTTATCTGATATTAGCATTGCAACTCCTGCCCATTTATGGGAGCCATTTGCCTTTTAGATTTTATTCCAGCCTTTCACTTTCAGAATATATTTGTTTTAGTGGGCAATTGGTATCTCTTGAAGGCAGCAGATAAAAGGATCTTGCTAGACAATCTACATTACTTAATTGGAGAGTTAACTCTATTAATATTGAGAGTTAAGACTGAGAGGTGTTTGGTAGTTCCTGCCACATTATCTACCTTCTTGGGGGCTGTGCCAACTGGGTTTTTGCTGTGTTCCTCAGATTCTTTGTTAGGGGGCTGTTTCTTGGCCTTTATCGTGCTCTTGTTGGTTTTCTATGTGTAGGACATCTTTAAATATCTTTTATAGGTCTGGTTTGGTGGAGATATATTGTTTCAATTTTTCTTTGGTGTAGGTTTTTATTTGACCTTCCATTATGAAGGAGAGTTTAACTGAGTTTAGTTGTTAGTCTTGAGGATGAAGCATACATCATTCAAGTCCCTTGCTTTCATTGTCTTTGCTGAGAAATCTGAAGTTATTCTGATTGGTTTCCCTTATAGGTGATTGATCTTTTCTCCTTAACAGCTTTATGGATCCTTTCTTTGGTCTCAATTACAATATGACAGTGGGATGTCCTGTTCTGGTCTACTCTATGGGGGGTTCCAAAGGGTTCTTGTATCTGAAAGGGCCTATTTTCTTGCATGTTTGGGAAGTTCTCTCCTATGATCCTGTTCAATAAATTTTCTAGACCTTTCACTCTGTCTCTAGGCCTTCCTGTACACCTATTACCTTTAAATTAGGCCTTCTGATGGTGTCTTCTAAATGTTGACTAGATCTATCATATTTCTTGTATTTGTCTTGAATACTTGTCTGTTCTTCCTCTATAATGGTTAGGTTGCCTTCAATCCAAGAGATTCAATCCTCCGCATGGGTTAACCTGTTGTCAAGACTTTCTACTTTGTTTTATAGTTCCTTTCCTTCTAATTGGTCAGATTTGATGGCTTCAAAATCTTTGTCGGAGCTTTATTTTAGATTTTGAATGGACTTCTTTACCTCTTTAATTTGCTTTGCAGTGTTCATTCTCAAATCCTTTAATTATTGGTTAGAGTTTCTTGCATTCCCTTTCCTTCTGTTGGGCTTCATTCAGCATTCCCTTTGGGGCCTCTGTGTTTTCTGTTTGTAGATTCCATGAGTGCCTCTATTAATCTAAGTGCACTCATATCCCACTCACACATTTCCTCTATTAATCTTTGATTAGCCTCCTCACACTTGCAAAATTCCTGTATTAATCTTTGTCAGCCACATCATGCTCCTGAATTTCCCTATTATGCTTACACAGAGTCTTTGTGGGCTTTCAGTCTTTTCATTCAACATGTTTACCAGTAGTGTTTGTATCACATTTTGGGAACTTTCCTCTGGATTGTTCACTAACAGCTCTGTTGTCTAATTATCTTAAGTAGGAGGTGAGATACCTAGACTTGCCATTTGTCTTGTGTTTCTCCGGCTTGTTCTGCCCATTTGGTATGAAAGCAAAACCAATTTCACGCTAGAACACTATTTTAAGGCAAGCATCAACAAGAGCCCTGTAGTTGTGCAGATCGTTTGACACAGTCAAAATGAGTGAAGATACAATCTAGTTCAACACATACAATCTGGTTCAACAACAGCTAGGGTTCAGTGGACTAAGAAAATCAAAGATGGAGTCAGCAGACCAGAAATTAATATTTTTAGGTAGAATTGTGAGGAATTAGAGGAATGTGAGGAGGGAAAGGGAGAGAGGGAATATAACCAAGACCTAAATTCTAAGAGAGGAAAAGGATAGAAGGAAAGGAGACGAGAGATAAAGAAAAAGGAAAAATTTTAAAAATGAAACATTTAAAAATTATATAAAAATAAAGAAATAATACCACAATTAAATTAGTTAAGGCCAAGAGTTTGTTAATTGAGTAATCACTATCTGAATTAAGTATGCACACTATGACGGATAAGGTCTAATAATCAAAGATAGGTATATATCTTGGGATGAACAGAACACCAAATAAGTAAAACCAAAAATAAAAAAGGACCAAAATGGGAAAGAGTAAAAAGAGAAAAACAAACAAACAAACAAAATAAATCTAAACAAAATGATGAAAAAAATTAAAAATATAGAAAAAAGTTATTCGATTTTAGAGGTAGGTGGGGATCTTGTATCTCCCCTGTCTCCATAACCAGTCTCTTGATGGAGTCTGGTTTCCTTGTGATGTTCGGTTTTCCTGTGGCTTAACTAGTTTCTTAAATCAGTTTGTTTGAGCAGGCAAAATGAAGCTCTGCCTTACCAGGC